CTTATCCCATTGTCCAACAAATTTAATACGGTCATGTTGCTCATTAAGCCACATGATTGCAGTCTTCAAGTATTTGAAGGGCTGCCATGTAGAAGATGGAGCAGATCTATTCTCCCTTGCTCCGGATTGCAAGACTAGGTCTAATGGGTGGGAATTACAAGGGAGTTGTTACCGGTTAAATATCAGGAGAAACTTCCTAACTCTCAGAGTGGTTGAGCAGTGGGACAGACTGCCTCGGGAGGGGGTGGATGCTTCTTCGCAGGACGTTTTCAAGCGGAGGCTGGACAACCATCTCTCGGGTACGTTGTAGGGCTATCTTTCGGCTATGCTCCTGCAGAGTGCAGGGGGTTGGACTAGACGACCTGCAAGGTCCCTTCCAACGCTGACATTCTATGGTGACCAGTCCTGAGGAGGAGGGCTGGACTTTCTCTCCAACGACAAGGAGGGGGGAAAGCAAATCCTGTCCTGAGGCCACAACTGCCAGAGGTAGAGTGGTTGTATGTAGGGACAGAAAATTGCAGTTTGAGGCTGTTTATTTTCTGCTCGGTTCTGTTGAAGCGCCTGTGCTATTTATTTCTGTGCCTAACCTTGTGCATAGTTTAAATAAACCTTCTTTTTGAATGATAAGACCTGGTAGTGCCTTGACCACATAGTCCTCCCCGCTCAGCACGTTACCAGAGGCAAAGGGAGGCCAAGGAACCGAAACGGGCCCAAATCGGGGGGATTGCTAACTCTCCAGGGGGCACACAAACATTAAGGTACCCACTTTCCCGGCTGGGGAATCAACCAGAGGGGGTCTCACTGTCCCTCTGGGAAGGCGGTGTAAGTTCAGTGAGTGGCAGCAGCGAATGAGGAGAGGAAGTAACCCCACCAAGCAGGGTGGGCAGGCATAAACAGGGGCTTGCAAAGCCACAGAACGACTATTCGGTCTCCCAGGGCTGAAGGCGGGTCCCCGTTTCGCCACACCGCCCATTCAAGCTGTGACCTTTATCATACACCTAAGACCTCCCTGCCCAATATGTGTTCCTCCAGACACTTCACCGGAGCTAATAGAAAATCAAAAACTTCATTATTGCCACTGGGGTTCAAACAGCTCTGATGATGGACGCAGGGGTGAGGATGGGCAGGGGCAAGATCCGTCTCCTTGGTTTTTTGCATTCCTCCTCTAACCTGTTTCCCTTCCTGCAGTTTCAGGTGTGGGGGCCGTCTGTGAAGATGGGAGTGAAGTTCTCTGAGGAGGAAGGATCTCCTTGGGAGGAGGAGCAGAAGGCGCAGGCCCAGGAGCGTTCCCAAGATGCCCTCTCCCGTGGTAGGGGTGCCTCGTGCCCAGATCTGGGCACACTGTGAAGTTGTTGGACAGAAGGTTCAGGACAGGAGGAAAAAGAGATATTTCTGCACACCACACAGAGTGGACTGCTGAGACCCAGTGCCATAGAATGTAACAGTGGCCACTCCCTTGAAGGGGGAATTATACAGATTCATGGAGGGCAATTCCTTTCTCATAGGAACAAAGGAGAAAATGAGAGAAGTCATGTTGGATCAGGCCAGGGCCCATCTGATCCAAGATTCTGTGCCACACAGTGGCCCAAGGCCAGGTGCCATCAAGAGGTCCACCAGCAGGGCCAGAGCTCCTAAACCCCTCCTACCCCACAAGTACCAGGAATACAGAGATTCACTGTCCTACACATAGATTTCCATCTATACCTTGTGGCTAATAACCACTCGTGGACCTCTGCTCCAGATGTTTATCCAGTCCCTTCCGAAAGCAATACCGGAGGCAGGAGGTGGGGGCAGGCTTTATTCAGCCACCTCTCTGAATATCCTCCAGGCCCCCGTAGGGGTCACTCACCAGAGGTCGCCATGACTTCCAGTTGCACGCACACACTAGTTATTTTTTAAAAAAAATCCTATCTCACCTAACTTCTGTTAGAGGGACTTAAGGTGGCTCAGAAAAGAAAAGTTGACCTGGCACCCCTGGGAACTTTGGAGGTGGGGCCGGGGGGGAAGTGATGTCACAGTGATGTCGCATCCTGCTGAAAACAAAAATCTCGACGTGACGTCAGAGCCTCAACAGACGCTCTGGAAACCGCTTGATATTACCCTCGAGTTCTCAGGTGTGCTAATGTCACCTCTGGGTTTTTGGACAGGTGTGACTGTGATGTATCGTTTGACCTCATTTCTTCACACACACTCCCTTCTCCCGGAAGCCTGAACTCAAAGGCACATGGGAGGGATCAGCCAGCAGGAGAATGGTGCACCTGGGCCTTTGGTCTGACCGAGCAGGGATGCTGCCACCGTTTTGAGCTTTGGAATTCACAGGATAAATTTCAAGAGGCAGAGAAGTCTGAACTGTGTTGGCCGTGTTTGTACCCCTCCCCCCCCGAGGCTCATAGGAACCTGGAGCTTCTCTTCCTCCTCTCCTTCAAGTTGACTCAAAATTGTTACACATTTTGTTGAGTGTAGACAGGGCAAGGTCTCACAGCCCTGGGAAGAGGGGTGCATGAAGCAGGATACACACAAGCAAGG